AATAAGCGTGGCTTAGAATTAAAATCAGTCTACTTTTTCCTGTATATATTTTATGGCCCGTCCTTATTTTATGTAGGAACAAATTGGAAGGATTCCCACTGTCACCAAATGTCACCGAGTGTGGCCTTGAGACAGAGACAACGTTAACAGGTGTGGACACATGGACACAGCCCACACCACAGACCACGTGCACCGTGGTTAGTCACCTCAGTTGGGTCTGCATCTCACTGACATGGTCTATTCTAGTGCTGATGGTTAATGCACATTCCTTTTGATTTTTAAAAGATTAAAAGAATCACAGGGGCGCAGCGCTGAGGAGAAAGACAGAGAGAACGTGGCAGGGAAGCATTTGATTCCCCTGGGAGGAAGAGTGTCTTGATTTGGGAAAAAACGAAAAACAACAACAAAAAAAGGCTCAGTTGAATCACCAAAGGCAGGCCATTTTATCAAGCCAGGACATGCAGCAAGAACTGCAGACCATGGGCTTGGAAAACCGAAAGAGGAGAACTTCATGTGCTGACCATCTTTTGATGGCATAATATTTGTTTCTTCACTCAAGGAGCAACCTACATGGAATCATTTTGCCTATCAATCAGCGGTGCATGGGAGAAGAATGAAACAAACCTTCCCCAGTTCATATAGCGTCTGGGACCAGCACCACACAGCTCGGAGTTTCAACTGAAGACAGTCCATGTCCTGCTCATGGCAGGAGCTGGCAAACCTTCTCAGGGAAGGGCCTGACTGTAAATGTGTGTGGCTGTGAAGGTTAATTCTAGGTGTCAGCTTGATTAGATTCTGAGGACCACGCCTAGTGAATGGATTGGTAATGGTGGTTGCTGGAGTGCTTCTGAGGGCTTTAAAAGGAGCATGCAGGAGGAGCTCTCTCTCACTCTCTGCTGTGCCATTTTGCAATGGGATACCCTGCCATCACGGAAGTCACCACCAAAGAAAGCCTTCACCAGATTATTCCCTGGACTTTGGATTTCCAGCCTCTCAAACTGTAAGCAAAAAATTTCGTTTTCTTATAAATCACCCAGTTGCAGGTATTTCTGTTGTAAGCAACAGAAACAGACTAATCCAGTAGCCTAGTGAGCCACATGAGGACCAACTCTGCAGGCAACTTGTAAACACATGGGCAGGGCCGTGTTCCATGGAAACCACGTACAGAAACAGGTGCAGGGCAGTCTGTCGACCTGTGACGCAGGGAAACATCATCCTATCTGACCATCAACAAGGTCAATTTTATTGCTATCTCCCGTTATCCTTTCATTTATCTGGCAGATGCAGTTTGGTCTTCCTGCACTCCCACGTGAGCAGGCATTTTCTGGCTTTGCTTTCTGCTACGTCCCCAGCACAGAACCGCACCTGGCAAACAGCAGGCATTCAAAAAGCATTTGCTGAATGAATAAAAAAAATAACATGGAATCAGACACAGGCAGGAAAGCTGAGGAAGAAGGGAGATGGAAGAACAGGAGAGCTCACAGCACGTTCTCCCACATGAACCCAGCCTGGAGACCTGCAGTCAGTGGCTCCCATGTCGGAGCAGAGGAGGAAGGGACGCATGTTCACGGTGAAGAGGGTTAAGAGGGTGAGAACAGAGAGGAGGGACAAGCCTCTTAATATCCTGGAGTTTCCTACCAGGTCCAAGCTGCATATATATTTTCTTAGTCAAATACTCTTGAAAATAGGATTTTCCCAATGAAATGTGCCCTCCTGTTTTCCCGTTTTGCGGATGGTTTTGGAAAGTTGCGAAGGGCACAGCTATAGGGGCTTTTTGGGAAGGAACATCGGTGTTACCAGTGCCAGACCACAGGTATCTAATGACTTCTGAGACCTCTTAGGAAAAATAGGAGGGACTTTGGGCAAATGAGCAGAGCTCTCAGGAGGGGCTCCAGGACAAGGGTGGCCCTGCCTCGGGATGGATCACAAGAGCAGTGGGGGACGCCCACCCTCCATCCCTCTCCACAGTCAGATGTGTATGGGGAGATGGCAGCCCCAAGGCAGAGGTGAGGAGGGAGGTGGGAGAATCTCCAGGAGAACACGAGGACCTCCCGAGTTGCCACTCCACTGTCCTCATCAAACAAAATTCCATGTTACTTTCAGAAAAACGTAAAGCCAAATCATTTACAGATATCATATCCATTGGATTTTTTATGGCAGCAATTTAGTCCCAGTTTTCAGGCAGGAATTGATTTTTTAAAACAATTATATTATTTTCTATCAGTTGGGACAATCAAGTGAGAAATTCATGTTTAAACCCCATGCAAGGTAGCTTCATAATCTCTCCACATGCACTTTCTGAACACAGGATTCTCTCTAATCCTTTCCTCTATTTCCAGAAACTTTGGGCAATGTGCCTCATGGGACCTATGTACCTGACGATAAACTATCTCCTGGCAAGAAGTGACATGGTTACAGCACCCCTTCAGCTCATTATATTTTTATGTCAGTTTCACACTACTTTCTCCTTTCCATGGGTATTTTAAATCTAAATAAACTATGCTAGCAAGCAGTATCTAGCTTCTGTGGCGACTGTCTCAGGGCACCCAGGAAGCACTGGCCGGCACCAGCAACCGTGACTGGGCAGATTTGGGGATGACCCTGTAGTAACCACGGCTATGACTGTGAGTCACCAGACTCCAAGGGGAGACCGGGAGGTTTTGCTGGAGTCACCAAACACAGGAGGAGCTGCATGTTTGCTAAGTACAAACAAAGCGAATAAATGCAATTCTTGAGGATTGTGAAATGTTTATGGTAAACTCAGCTCAGGGTTAGAAACTGACACTTGGTTCTCCCAATCACAACCCTTTTCCATGTAATCCCACTATCTTTAAAGACAGTTCAACTTCAGGAAAAAATAGGCTGAATTTACACAAGCTGGATGAAAATTTGCCAGTAAGGTCGTTTGGCAGAAGCTCAGCCAAGGGGACAACATCACATTCTTCATTTTCCACCTGATTGGCACTACTTAAAACACACGGTGTTGAAAACAAACAGTGTACTTTGAGACTGATGAATCTGGACCCCTTTTAGTGACAAATTTTCATGACTTTTGAGACCTGTGATGAAAACCTCGCCACCCTGAACCTCCTCCGCCTGTGCTGGCAACTGCACCATCACTAGCTGCAATGCATTACACATGGGTGGGGCTCAGCAGGGCTTGGGCTGTCTATGTCCACTGCACCTGCGGTGGTCTTGTGTTTTCCTACTTGTCATTTGGGAACTGTCGACAGGTCTGAGGTGAACAGATGGCTGCCAGGCTGTGGTTGGGTGTGGGGGCCGAGGAGAAGCAGATGCACCCTTGGGGTTTGCAACAGGAGCAAGACCGGCTGGCCAGCCAGCATTTTTTTGTGTTAATCACCATCTCTGATAAACAGTAAATTGTAATTATACCGTCTTAGAGCAGGTTCAGACCAAAGTCTACCAACTCAGCCCCTATGAGGAAACTACTGTTATTGGGGTAACAGTTACTCATAGAGTACCTACTGTTATTAGGGTAACAGTTATTCATTCATAGAGAACCTACTATTATTAGGGTACCAGTTACTCATTTCATAGCGTACCTGCCGTTATTAGGATAACAGTTATTCATTCAGAGTATCTACTGTTATTAGGGTAACAGTTTTGCAGAGAACCTGCTGTTAGTAGGGTAACAGTTATCCACAGAGTACCTGATGTTCTTAGGGTAACAGTTATTCATTCATAGGGTATCTACTGTTATTAGGGTAACAGTTATTCACAGAGAACCTGCCGTTAGTAAGGTAACAGTTATTCATTTGTAGAGAACCTGCCATTAGTAGGGTAATAGTTATTCACAAAGTACCTGCTGTTGTTAGGGTAACAGTATGATCCTCTTAAAAAATGAAGATCCAATTCTGGTTAGTAATACCAATTTTTATCATCAGTTTAAATAATTAGATAAACTTTAAATTTCTGGTTCAATCAAAATTAAAAGTAGCTCCTGATACTTTAAAGATTTTCAGTCTCTCAGCCTGCTAGTCAGGCGACCTAGTTAATGTTACGTTAATGAACACCTAAAAGCATTAGGTTTCTTATTTAAGGACGTTCATCTAGTGAATATCTTTGGAAAGCCCAATCTTCAGTAGAGCAGTACTCATGTACTTTGTATACTAACTTTTCTCTGTCATCCATTCTTAAAGCAGAGCACATTTGTGCTAATGAATTAAAACCTAATTAGAGATGGAACCCAAAGATATGAAAAATAAGTCATGCTACAAGTTTCAAGTATCTAGATGACGCAAATGCTTCCTTTTTGCATTAATGTTGATAACTGAGAGTTGCAGGATGACTGGCAGCCAACTCTGACTAATGATGGTGACATCAAACAGGCCTTTCTGTTCCTCCTTTGGAGACCACTAACTGTGCTGAGCTCTTTGCATGTTCTCGTGCTGGTAGAGTGGCTCTTACCTCAACCACCCAGCACTGTGCTGCTCTGAAGCAGGCTGGAGTGTCTGGTGACCAAAGACTCTGCAGACAACACTGACCACACAGCAGAAGCACCCCGAGAGACAGGAGCCTGCGCTGTGGGATAGTGTGGGTCACAGACACCATGCCACCCAGAGCTCAGAAAACCAGTGTCTTTAAAGTGCAGCTTTCCAGAGGGCAGAAAGTGAAGATGATGTCAAAACGGCACACGCTTGCCTGCAGAGCCTCGTTCACCAGTGTTTACTCTATCCCATCCCCAGATTAAACCTGCGACCGACACGAGCAAGAACATGGCACTACTGCTCCATGATCCCCAAGGCGGAGCTCCACTGACTCGGGAGTTATGGTAAAACTGCAGAGGGTGAGAAATGCTTCCCTAGCTAATGACCCTGGACCACCCAAGAGTCCATTTCAGCACTCAAAAGAGAACTAAACTCCTCTGGAAAAGCACAGGTCCTGTTTTCATCCCCACACTAAGGATTAATGGTTAAGATTCCCAGGTTCTTGTTGGCTGGGCCCCCTGGCTGTCTACGTTAGTGGGCGAGACCCAGTACCTCCGGATGGCCACCGTGAGGGCCTCGGGCGAGCTGGCGCATGGACAGATGACCTCCTGCCGCAGGCCTTTGCTCTGGAAGACATTGAGAAATGCATCGCAAGAAGAAATCGACCCTGGAGTGAAAGAAGAGTAATAATCAGACTGCGGAAGTGAAGCACCATGACCGATTAAAAAATATCCAGTGATATAAAATAGTCTGAAGTCAGGCTTTAGGCTGAAATGGATTTAGGCAGCATGAAAAAATACTTCACTTAATATAATTTACGTTACAATCATTGTATCCTCAAATTTACAGAACTCAAGAATTTTTAAAAATGCAACTCCTACACTTGAGACATGTTTTCTGACTGACAAACTTAACTCTTATAAGCTTTCTGAGACTTGTTCCACCATTTTCAATATACAAGTTCCAAAAGATGGGTAAACCAAAACTTAACTAAAGAAGGAAAACTTTACATTGACTTAAATGACGAGATCGAGATATAACTGCTAGAGTGTATCAGCTAAACTATTTCCAATACAGGTTTACCTTGCTTTATGCAAGATGTATTGTTCTCTAGTGTTTTGGGTTAAAAGCAACTGTGTATTAAATTTGCTCACAATCTATGGAATTATTTTATAATAAGTGAAAGAATCATTTATAAAACCAGGTTATATGTTTAACACTACTTTTGCATACCAGATGTTCTTTAAGAGAGTATGTGCGGCTCTAGCTACAAGCACACGTTATGCACGGTTTATAAGTGTGGTCAGAGACACTCTTCATTCAGTCCACTCTATTCTGCTCATTTTGTTTCTGACATAAGAAGCCAGCTAGGGTTTTGTTTCAGTTGACTAAAATATTTCTCAAGGTGTATTAATTATATTCCGTGGAACTGCTATTTTACTTTATCTGGGTATTTTTGGCTGCAGGATTTCATAATGAGATTCCATTAAAAATGACAAATTAATTTGCTAATCAATAAAACTACTGTGGATCATAAAATAGTAATAGTTAACATTTCTTGAGCACTTATTACATGCCAAGAGACCATACTTAGGGAGTATTTCGCTTAATCCTCATACACCTTTGATTCAGGTGCCATTTACGGCAGAGGAAAGAGGACTGAAAGGGACACACATCTGCAGATGCCAAGCTTGTAACCATCATGCCGTTGTACATTCAGGTTACAGTGAATAGTGCTATTGGTTCATTGTAAAAGACTTCTTAACTGAAACAAAGACTAGAAAAAGAAAGATCAAAGCACAAAGAATGAAGTCTGGAGAACAAGGACCCCATGGACCGCCCATCTTCTGGTCTAAAGGGAATTCTTCACTTACAGGGATTTGCACCATCGGCCACTATCAACATTCGTAGAGAGGAGAGGTTGATATCTCTTTGGTCTCTGTGTGCTACTAATGCCCAGTGCATATCTCTTGATTTCACGCAAGCCACTTTTGCTAAAAAGAGAAGCAGAAGTTGGTCAGTATATGTCACCATCAGACCGTCTGATATTGAAAAAGAGAGAATTGTGACCATTGGGGAATGGTGAATCATCTTTTATTTGACAGCAAAACTCAGACCCACCTTTGTACTGGCAGACCTTCTGGATCCAGGAGAGTGGGTTCACCTTCATCAGTGAGTAGGGGATGCTGATGACGTGCATCATGTTCATGACGCTCTGAAACCAATGACATACATATGCGGGTGAGCAGGAGGTGCCGGACAGGAGGACGCACACTCCCTGCAGTGCAGGTGGGGGATGCTAGGCACTGCAGGAGGGGCAAGAGAGGCTCTCAGGGGAGTGGGCAGCTGACCCGTGTGAGGTGTGCACTGTCAGGTGCATGTCCTGTGGACCCTTCAAAAGAATGCTCGAGGGACAGTGACTCCCAAGGGGACCTTGTCCCCTCTGTGTGTGCTTGTCCTAAACCCCTGACAGAAGTAAAGAATTTAAGTCCAGATCCTTTCTTGAATAAAACCTTTAGTGGAATGATCATCATTTTGTAATGGCCTTTCTTGTTCTTGAAGCTTAATTCTTTCCAGTGTATTATACTAATGTTTATTTTGCAACATTAATTGTTAATTAAATGCTACACTGAAATGTAAGGAGTGGCAGAAAGTTTGTCTTAATCATGCTCAGTCTTCTGTGTGGCCTTGCTATAGACCAGAGCTTTGGAGGGTACTAACATTAATAAAGCACATGTACTTCACAGGGTCTAACTTTTTAGAATTACACATAGAAATGATAAGCTTGCGAAAGACAGAAAACTTTCCCTGGGCTAAAGTCTCTGTTGTAGATAAAGAATTGTAACACAGCACAATTGCTGGCTCTAAGGGCAGATGTCCTTGGTGCAGCTAAACCTACTGATTGTTGCCATGACAATTATCTTACTGTTCTTTTTGTAACCACCTATGTTCTTTATCTATAACTTTCTTGCCTGGAGAATAAATACTGAGAGAAAACCTTAGTTCAGGGTTATTTTTCCGAGGAATGCTCTCTTGAGGGTTCCTGGAAATTAACCTCTTTGGGGCCTCTCACTGCTCTGAAGAAATGGGCTTTGAGTAATCCTTTGCATTTCCGTTACCCTGGGAGAGGTGACACAGGACTGCTAAAGGGGTTGCTTCTATAGAATGGATGACTAAAATAAACTTAAAAAAGAAAAAAGGTTAGCACCTCCACACTGTGGCTAGGACCTGCATCCTGCTCAGGCACCACGCAGCACATGCCCTCACATAGCAGCAGAGTCCCAGGACTTCAGGCCCAGGCCTCTCTGCGGCATGTTGGGATCTTATAGGTAATTGAGTGTGGGGCCAGTGAGAGGGCACAGGCCACTCTGGAGAGCCACTGTCCCAACTCTAGAAGCTCCCAATAAAAATGAAAAGACAGCATATACCTTCCCTACCAGGGTGACCTCTGTGCCGACTGTATACCCAGCCTCGCCAGCACCAGCCTGCTGACCACGCTGGAGAGTGGCAGCGAAACAGAGGCCCAGTACCATGTGGCAGCCCAGAGCAATGGTGGCCAGTGGGGCGACAGCATCAGCAGAGGAGCCCACAGCAGGGGAGACCCTGCAGGCAGGACTTGGGGACCATGGCTAACAAGGGGAGCAGCACTGACAATGGCAGCTTTCTGCTCCCAAGGACAAGGCAGTGAAGCGTGCGTGCCAAGGCCACGTAATTCTGACACCAACCCTGTCAGACAGAGCTGTCATTTCCTTCTGACAAGTAGGAAACTGAGGCTCAGAGGTGTGAAGCAGGTGGTCAGTCCTCAGGCAGACGCAGCTCACCCTAGCCACGGGCTGTAAGAGGGAGGGCCGTGCCTTGCCGGGTTCCCTCACCCAGAGCCCGGCTCCTCCGGCTGCAACTGAGCTGCATCTAGGCTGTATTTCTGCATCATCTAACAGCATCTGAGGTTAGAAATGAACTGTATTGTATCAAAGAAGCCAGCTGGGCTAGTCCAGAGCTGCAAATGTCTATGAGATGCTTTCAAGCTCTTGTTCATTTTAATTCCAGCTTACCAAGAAACAACAAACCCCACTTTCTGTGTTCATATTCCCAAAACTCAAGTAAAAATTACTAGAATTTCCTGTTTCAGAGAGGATATGAAGTTTCAGCATAAGAAGCTATTAAAAAGAAAAAAAGAATGAAAATTACTGCACTTGAAGCAGACACAGGGACACCCTAAGCAGTCACACAGCACATATCATCTCAGGTGACAAGTATACTTTAAATTATCTTAAACAAATAATGTCACTTCCTCACTGAAAGTGCTGCCGTCCAGCACTGCTGTCACTCACTGAGCACACTCACAATGGTGACAAACACTTCTCTACAACACTTGATAAATCTTCATCATCAAGGGCAAGTTCGTAACATACCTTCCCCTATGGAAGGTCCCTAAATATTCATCAACACCGACTCACAGGAGGAAAAAGTAAGAGGACATCCCAGCTAAGTCAGATATATGGGAAAGTGACCCCAATACAAACGAGATGTCAATAACATCCCTGTGAAACCTTAATCGCCGACAGTTGGGGGAAGAGAGATGCAGAGCTTCCTCTGGGCCTTAGAGAGGCTGCTCTTAACAGCTGTAGCCTCAACAGGTGGGGCCCGGACTCGAGCAAGCAGCTGCTGGAACCCGCTGGCTCTAGATGCTCTCTCAGCAATGCAAGGTTAGTGACAACACAGACTTCTAACAAATACGATGTTCTTCTTTATAATGCAGGGAGAGGGGACCTACCCAAGCTGACGCATCTGCAGACATTTATGCGATGCTATTACTGAGCACACTCACAGGTAAACAGCCACACAGGGTGGGGGCAGCAGGGTGACATACCGTGAGAATGCCATGCCACAGCCCGACGTCCTTCTTGAAATCCAGCACATTCACAATGGTTTCAGCTGCACAAAAGAGAGTCAAAAGATGTTTACTTACAACAGGGCGGCCCAGCCGGAGTGCAAAGAAAATGTAACTTCACATTAGGGTTAGCAATGGATCTTGGAAAAGAATTACTTCATTTTATCTTTGTAAAAATTCTGCAGCCTCCAGTCAGGCCCATTGAAATGTGCCAGCCAGCCAGCCAGGAGAATGTTTTCAGATGAATAATCCCACAGGTACGTGCACAGCAGTAGCCTCCACACCATCCCCTTAAATGTCCTATTCCTTCTCTTTTCATGTATTTGTTTTCCCACTCCCTGCCTTTTCCTTATTTTTTTCATCTCCCTTATGCATGCCTTGCAACACCTGAGGAGGGGTCAGTTCTCGGCAGCACTGGGGCCTGGGCTGCTCTCTCCCAGGTGTCCTCCAGGGTGGGGCTGGCAGAATAAAAGAGATGAGGGGATTTGGAGTGACAGGGATGGAAGAGGATTCCAGGATTATTGGGTGTGTGGGGGGTGTTTCTATTATGGAACATGGAATCGAAGCCAGAGAGCCCGCCACCAACACTCAACTGTCCTCTGAACTCACACCTGTCACCAGAGGCGAGTGGGTGCCAGCTCCCAGGCCACCATACCACATCTCACATCCTCAGTGTTCCCTCTCGCCACGTCTGCCAAAGGCAATTGTGCCCCTGCTCCCCTTCCGAGGGTTGAAAACGGAGGGTGCACAGACAGAGGGACTTTCAGAGTGGACATGCTCAAAGGAACAGTCTACATTCCTTCTTACAAAAGGACTTTTTAACAGTAAGTAGGAAGTGAGGAGCAAAAACATAGATTCCCTCCCCAGCAACCCACAAGAGCAGCCAGACCTTCGAGACATGAGGCAGGGACACGGGTCAGGAGGTTGCGAGGATGAGCGGCCACATATCCCCAAGTATAAAAAGGGCCGTGGGCCAAACACTCGGGGAACATCTCCACAAGACACGTGTTCTTTTTAAAAAGCGAGATTATTAGGAGAACAGGGAGAGAATGAAAATGGTGGGAGAAAGTGGAGCAGCAAATGCCGTTGCAGGGAGCCTGCTGTGGTCGTGCCCATACAGAGGGTCTCGGGGGACCTGCTTTTCCCGCCTCCTCCATGCCTGGTCGGCACTGTCACCATAGTTACGCTGACTCAGTCTGTCTCTTTGCCTCCCATAACTGTCCCGATTTAGGGGAGAGAAAATACAACATGGAAACCAACTATTCTCAACTTTGGAAGCCCACTCCCTGGGGAGCTCAGAAACCCACCCTTAGAGACCCTGACTCAATTGCGGGGGAGGGTGGGGGGTGGGCTGGAACATGGGCATCTTTCTCGAAAGCTCCCAAAGATATACTGATAAGCAGCCAGGATGAACATCTGTGGAGTTAACTAACAATTACAGACTGAATTATGTCCCCAAATGCACACACCGAAGCCCAATATGTGGAGATGAAGCCTTTAAGGAGGGGTCAACGTTAAATGAGGTTGTGAGGGTAGGGCTCTGACTGGCATCCTCATGAGAAGAGGGAGTGCTCTCTCTCCAAGCACACACAGCAGAGGCCACGTGAGGATGCAGCAAGAAGAAGCCCTCAGCAAGCTGGGAAGAGAGCCCACCAGGACCCAGCCCTGCTGGCACCAGACCCCAGCCTCCCACCCCATGAACTGTGAGAGTGACGTCTGCTGTTGAAGCCGCCCCCTCTGTGGTGCTCGGCTCCAGCAGCCCAAGCTCATCACTAACTCAGCAGTTCACTAAGTTAACGTTCAGTTGAGCTGGGCACAAACTTGGCACCACTTTCACAGTTACTGGCAGGAATGGCCAGTCTCTCCCTTAGGCGTCCCTGGTCAACTTGGAACTCCACAGACCCGGGTCCCAGGAGTCGCAGCCTCGTGGGGGCTGTCCACACCTTCTGTGTAGCCACACGCCTGTGTCAGGGCCTGGCAGTGCGTGAGCAGCGCACTCCTTGTCACGGTCACGCCAAGCACGCTCCCGTCCTTACACGTCTTGTACTGAAACGAGACAGAAGCACGTGGAAGAGTGGAACCAAGAGGGAGGTCCTGCTCCACAGCCAGCGGCTTTTCTACTTGTCTGAGACGCTTTGGGTCCCTTACTTCTGAAGCTGTGTAACTATCAGAAATGAATGTTGGAACCCAAAGTGCACCAGGTCTATGGAAGGAGGCCACGCTCAACCTACCTCGATATAAGCAGTGTCATTGTTTGCATCCTTGATGTGCGGGAACCAGTCTCGTGGAGGTTTAGAAAGATGCTTTGACTCTGTGACAAACCACAGTAGCTTTGGCCAACCTTGGAAATAAATGACAGACTCCTTTTAAGTAAGCACTGCCCAGAAAATGGGTCTGTAAAATCTCTCTCTCCATGCACAGCACACTTTCAAACACTTCTAGCTAGACTGAATCTCTGTTTCTATCGTTCATCGAATCTAAGACAACACCCCAAAAGAGCACCCAAGCCACCACCAGTTAAACCATGTTACCCCCCCAGGCTGACAGCCTGACATGTGTTATCAGAAGTGTTCACAACTGAAAACATGTGTGTTGGAGTTGATGCAGAGGGTGCGTTCTCCACCACTGACCAAAAGGACCCAGGGAAAGTAGGTGGGCTCTCAAAGGCACTTTGGCGTACCTTTAAACTGTGGGATCTCTCCCGTCGGGCTTTTTGGTAGTCCTTTATGGCAAGCATCACTAGTCAAGGCTACAGTCACGCCACAGCTTCCAAGCAAGAAACCTATCTGCTGGCTCCCCGCGTCCTGAGGGGGCAATGAAGAGAAGAGTCAAAGACCAGGACATAGCTCCTCTCCGGGTGAGCATGCTGCCCGCTTTGTGTCCTGGGGGCGTGAGCTGCCTCCTGAGCCTCTTCTCCCTTCCTGAACAACGAGGAATCCAGGGAGTGGACTCTTGAGTCTGCAGAACTGGGGTCAAATGCCAGCACTGCTGCTGCCGGCTGAGAGACCTCGGACAGGGTGGTTGGCCTGTTCATTAGAGTTTCCTTATCTGCAAAATGGGGGTAGGAGAACTGCAGGCTCACAGTTCGTCACGAGGGACAGGTTAGAAGAGTTTATGACAAGTGCCCAGTGCACAGCTGCACACAGTGGGTCTCACTAGAAGGTTGCTATTCTGTTTCCCTCCGATTCTAGAACCCTATGATTACAATATATAATTACCGCAGAGAATAGAAAGTGGCCAAGAAAACACTTTGTACCTAAACTATTAACACTGAGTGCCTGACTTTTACTCGAAGACAGAAGGCACTGAGGATACACCTGGCATGGGGCAGCAGGCATGGCCTTCTGCCCCTTGAGCACGCACGTCTCCATGAAATAACTGAAGCTACTAAAACCTGCCACCGCTGCACAACATCAACTGTGGAGACACAAAGTACACAGAGCCTCCAAGCTGCCGCAGGACTTCAGGATGCCGTGCCTGAGCAGACACTGCAGATGGGGCCCCTCGCTGGAGTCTTGCTGCTTGTTCTGTCCAGCTGCCCCAGGAACACAGACACACAACTGCACGAGTCAGAACAGCGACGTGGGTTGGCAATTATTTGATTCAGATAATAAAATTAAAGCCTGCATTTCCAGAACTAAAAATGTCAGGGTATAGTGACCCAGCCACCTCTCTTCATTCCCGATGGCTCTGTGTGGACCTAGCACACCTTGGGCGTGGCTGCAGGCTGGTTTACTGACTCCGCCTGTCTGTGCTGCGCTAACGGAAAAGCATGAGGGAAGTGTGATGTATTATGCAGCACTGAAATTTTAAAGCATTGTCTTTTAAGTGTTTAGTTCATTCTTATTATAGATCTAAATCTACAGTGAAAACATGTCTGTTTATGTGGGAATTCCACAGAGCAATGGCCAACAGGCCAATGTGCACCCCCACACACCCCTGTAAGGGGCGAGAGGCTGCAGCTCCGCAGAAGGGACGGGTCCCACTTTGGGGACCTTCCTGTGGCTATTTTCCATCTAGCAACGGTTTGTCAAATAAAGTCATAATGGGCTACTTCCACATGAATCTGAATGTCATGTTAGCAGATGTCATTACTGCAGAGGTGAGGGAGACTGGCTGATGACACTGGCTGGATCAGCAGGAAGGTGGCTCTTCCCTGAGCATGTGAATGCTGGGCTGGGTCAGTAGGTGGAGACGGAGTTGAGGACAGGATCCTGAGATAGGGCGTAACCTCTGTCCTTGGGCCTCCCACAAGAGCCCTGCCTTCCCCTAAACCCTATCTTCTTAGTATCTGCATGAGATTTAATCCCCAAGCAATAAAGTCACGTGCATAAAAAGACCCCTAAAATACAAAGAAGAGGTTGGAAGCCGCATAGGAAGGAGAGGGCTGGAAGGCGGCGCTGTGCTGCTGCCTGTGAAGGTGCCCTGCCTGCCCCTCAGGGAACACCCTGCTGCACTCACAGGGAACACCCACCAAGCCTGACACTAACACGCTGAAGCCTTCCCCTCACGGTCCTTCATGGCCCCCCCCCCCCCCCGTCTGCATATGA